TGAGTTGGAATCGACTCGACGGCAACGGGTTTTGGTTTCTACTGAAAATAATATATGGCTTTTAAGAGTTTTCAAACTTGAAAAACTTTTTGGTGAGTTAAAAGTGAAATAAAAGAATCTTTTAATGCAAACTGTGATTTCTGACTTCCATTTATATATTAAAAATAGTTGTTCTTTGTTCAAATTTTCTCATATGTTCCTACTAAAAGTTGTAGTCATTGAGATTTCACTATCTTCTGTTTGTACACATGTATTAACTTCACTTTTTGGCATTCAGTGTAATCCAAAATTAACGCAACATGACCTTAATACACATTTACATAAAAATCAGCTTTATCAGGGAATTCTAGAAATAAAATTGTAGTAAAAGTTCTGGAAAATGGGATTTCCCTCATATGTCCAAGTCTGGGTTTGCATTTATGCAAAGCCATCAATGAATAAACATGACAATAACTGATTCCTCTGCTTTCACTCGCCCAGGTAACCGTAATTCTAAATCTCATTTATGATTCCATTGCTTACATTTTATAGTTTCTTTGCATCTCTATATTCCCATAAAAGTACTATTTTTTTTTTAATACTGTGCTTTACCTTTATACAAAAGGTATTAATCTGTATTCTTTGGGGAGTTTATTTTGCTTAATATTATATTGAGAAGATTCATCCACATTGTTGTGTGTAGTTATAGTTCATTGATTTTGACTGTGTATAATAGTCCATTGTGTGAGCACACCACAGCTTATTCCTGCACTCTCCCATTGATAGGCATTTGGGTTGTTTCCAGGTTTTTACTATTGTGAACAGTGCTGCTATGAACATTCTTGTACACATCTCCTCCTGTACATAAGCAAGAGTTTCTCTTGAGTATATACCTAGGAAGAGAATTGCTGGGTCATAGGGTTATTTTCTGTTCTAGCCTCTATTTTGGGTGGTGTGTTTGCAGGTGCATAGTGTTTTTAATGTCTAACTGGTTATTAAATTATAATGAGTTATAACTAATTATAATCATTTATTTAAAATAATTAACTAACTAAATAAAAATGGACCATGTATGGAAAAATGATTAGAGTGTGTCAAGAACCCAGGATTATGATTAATCCAATTGTGTGCACCAGGGGTCCAAAATAAAGACTGCTAACAAAAAGGTCGGAGATTCAAAAAAAAAAAGACAACCTACAGACTGGGAAAATAATTTTGGCTACTAGAAATCCGATTAGTGAATAATAATCTCTAAAGTCTACAAGATACTGCAAAACCTCAACAACAAAAAGACACCCCAATTAAAAAATGCACAAAGGGTATGAATGGGCACTTTGCCAAAGACGACATTCAGGCAGCTAACAGACACACGAGGAAATGCTCACAATCATTAGTCATTAAAGAAATGCAAATCAAAACTAAAATGAGACACCATCTCACCCCAACAAGGCTAGCATTAATCCAAAACACACAAAATAATAAAATGTTGGGAGAGGCTGGGGAGAGACTGGAACACTTATACACTGTAGTGGGGAATGTAAAATGGTACAACCACTTTGGAAATCGATTTGGCACTTCCTTTAAAAGCTAGAAACAGAAGTACGATATGATCCATCAACCCCACTCCTTGGAATATATCCTAGAGAAATAGGAGCCATCACACAAATAGATATACACACACCCATGTTCACTGCAGCACTGTTCACGATAGCAAAAAGATGGTAACAACCTAGGTGCCCATCAATGGACGAATGGATAAACACATTACAGTATATACAAACAACGGAATACTATGCAACGATAAAGAACAAGGATGAATTCATGAAACATAACATAAAGGAATCTGAAGGCATTATGCTGAGTGAATTTAGTCAGTTGAGAAAGGACAAATATTGTATAAGACCACTATTATAAGAACTCAAGACAAGGTTTAAACACAGAAAAAAAACATTCTTTGATGGTTAGGAGGGTGGGGAGAGAGGAGGGAAGGGGGTATTCACTAACCAGACAGTAGCCAAGAATTATCTTAGGTGAAGGGAAGGACAACACACACTGCAAGGGAAGTCGGCACAACTGGACTAAACCAAAGCTAACAAGTTTCCTGAATACAACCACTTCGAGGGACAGAGAAGCAGGGGCAGGGGTCTGGGGACCATGCTTTCAGGGGACATCTAGGTCAACTGGCGTAACAAAGTATATTAAGAAAACATTCTACAACTCACTCTGGTAAGTGGCATCTGGGGGTCTTAAAAGCTAGCGAGTAGCCACCTAAGATGCATCAATTGGTCCCAACCCACCCACAGTAAAGGACAATGAAGAATACCATAGATACAAAGGAAGTATTAGCCCAAGAGACAGAAAGGGCCACATAAATGAAAGACTCCATCAGCCTGAGACCAGAGGAACTAGATGGTGCCCAGCTACCACCAATGACCGCCCTGACCAGGAACACAACACAGTCCCTGACGGAGCAGGAGAAAGGTGGGGTGCAGAACTCAAATTCTAGTAAAAAGACCAGACTTAATGGTTTGATTGAGGTTGGAGGAACCCCAGAAAGCATGGCCCACAGGCTCTCTGCTAGCCCAAAACTAAAACCATTCTTGAGGCCAACTCTTCAAAGATTAGACTGGGCTATGGGACATAAAGTGATACTCGTGAAGAGCATGCTTCTTAGCTCAAGTAGATACATGAGACTAAATGGGCAGCTCCTGTCCAGAGGCAACATGGGAAGGCAGAAAGTGTCAGGAGCTGGTTGAATGGACACAGGAAATCCGGGGTGGAAAGGAGGTGCGTGCTGTCACAGTGTAGGGAGAGCAACTAGGGTCACATAACAATGTACGTATCAATTTTTGCATGATAGACTAACTTGAAATGTAAACTTTCACTTAAAGTACAACAATAAAATAAAAGAATAAGAAAAATAGAGGAAGACCCTCAACAAGATGGACTGACACAACGGCTGCAACAATGGGCTCAACCATAACGACAACTGTAAGGATGGCGCAGAACCGGGCAGTGTTTTGTTCTGTTGTACATAGGGTCGCTAGGAGTCGGAACCAACTTGATGGCACCTAACAACACTAACAACTACACCATATACAATTTTGCAACAAAGTAATAACAACCAAAAATCTGTGAGTGGTTACACAGGTAGATACGTAGGCTACACAGATGTGGGAGGGCATATGGGACTGCGTGCACGTGCATATGTGGGTATGAAAAGACCCACTGCCATCGAGTCCATTCCGACTCACAGTGATTCTGTAGTTGTCAGTAACTGTATACACATATTTCCATGTGCTGCACATATCATATGTATAATACAGCACACAGGAGGAACAATTATGGAAACTTCTTAGACATATCCAAACACCTCGTGGAACTGAGTTAGTTACTGGGCTTGAAGGCTACGGACCATAGTCTCGGGGGACATCTACTTCAATTGGCATTAACACAGTTCATAAAGACAATATTCTACATCCCAGTTTGGTGAGTAGCATCTGGGGTTTTAAAAGCTTGCAAGCAGCCATCTAAGACACAGCTATTTGTCTCTTCCTGTCTGGAGCAAAGAAGAGTGAAGGAAACCAAAGATTCAAGGAAGAAGTTAGTCCACAGGACTAATGGCCTACATGAACCACTCCTCCTCTAGCCTGAGACCAGGCTAACTAGATGGTGCCCGACTACCACTACCGACCACTCTGACCAGGGATACAACAGAAGATCCAAGTTAGAAAGGGAGAAAAATGTAGAACAAAACTCAAATTCATAAAAGAAGACCAGACTTACTGGACTAATAAGAGACTGAAGGAACCCCAAAACTATCGTCCTAAGACACCCTTTTAACCTCACACTGAAGCTACTCCTGGAGGTCACCTTTCAGCCAAATTACAGACTGGCCTATAAAATAAACAATAACACCAGTGAGAAACATGCTCCTTAGAACAATCAACTAAATGAGACCAAACAGGTAACATCTGCCCAAAAGCAAAGATGAGAAGGGAAGGAGGGGCAGGGAAACTGGCGGGATGGAAACAGGGAAGGCAGTGTGGAAATGGGGAGAGTGCTGATATATTATGGGAATAGAAACCAGTATCAGAGAACAATTTTTATACAAATTGTTGAATGGGAAACTAATTTGCTATGTAAACTTTCACCTAAAGCATAACAAAATGTTTAAAAAAAATACAAAACTATTATGACTAGTGAAAAAGATGAGTGATAAGAAAAATTATCTGCAGAATTAAAGAACAGACAAGAAGGGAGGGGAGAAGATTAAAAAAAAACAAAGATAGATGGCCATAAAAAGAAACCTCCTTAAAAGGGGAGAAGTGAGCTTCACCACATTGTTAGTTATTTGACCAGTGGCTAAAACAGTAAATTATCACCATTATGACTGCTGTTAGAAATTCGGTTGGCTCAATCTCAATGTTTAAATTTTTCTTGCCAGTTAATAAGAATTTACTTTTCTTGAATCCCAATCTACCTGCACACATAAATCTTTTTCATCTCTGCCAAAGATTATCCATCTGTAATCTTCTGGCATGTAATCATAATCTTAAATGGCCAGCATTTGTCCTAATTCTTCTTTCTACCAAACAGAATTTTAGTATCTAACTTTATGCCTTAACTACCTACCAAGAATTACCCACTGTGTTTCTCTTTTTTGCCAGAATCACGGACGTGCTACTCTAAAATGTAACATCCTTGAATTACACGTGGAGTCTCTATGAGTTGGAAACGACTGGACAACAGGTTTGTTTTTTTTGAGGGGGGGACGGCTGAATTACCTCCAACAATACTACTCATGTCAGTAAAATATATTTTCAGTAATACGTAAGTTTTGGGGTTTTGTAAAGTCCTCCAGGAAAAAGATGATTTTTGTTTTTAAGATGCTGAGTTCCAGGTTTGTCTCTGAATTCCTAAATGGCAAGTTAAATATTAATACGTATCAATGGGACATAAATATGAAACCACTGGAGAGAAAAAAATTATACCATATCTATGTGAAAACCAATTTTTACCTTGCCTCATTAGCATTAATTGGTGTTCATGCCTAGCTGCTTCCATTTCTGCCTCTAGTTTCTCTTTGGCTTCTCTGATGTTTCTATCAACCTGCTCACGCTGCTGCTTTTCCATTTCGTCAAGAGCCTTCCATCGAGACGCATACTCAAATTCAAATGTCCCAGGCTGAGCAAACCGTGGAGGCTGTTCTCTTTCCCTAAATTTACATTTAAAAACATACAGAAATGTATGTTTAAAAAGTAAAATGCAACAACAGACAGTAACAATAACTACCATTTACCGAGCACTTTAAAATGTTCAAGGTACTTTATCAGGAAGATTCTTTACATGAATTATCTCATAGCAATATTGTGAGGTAGATTTTATAAGCCTGAGGTGACAGATCTCCCAAGGATGCCAAACTAATAAGTAATGAAACCAGGATTCAAACCTAAGCAATCTGATGCTATAACCTGCATTCCCCTAATTACCACTTCTAATAAAGCCTGTCTGATTTTCACACAAATAATAATTTATGCAAGATAGTCTCCAACATATGAAATCAAATGTGTCCTAAGTTAACTGTCTGGAATCAGATTTCTTTCCCTAAAAGTTATTTAGAGATAGTAATAAAAGCAGCTAGAGTTTACTGAGTGTTATGTGCCAGGTTAACTGGCTAGGCCAAAGAATAAGGGCCTAAAAAAATGTACCTGAGTTTGAAAGTCTTCAATTATTCTTGGCTATCTTAGCACTTATTAAGAAACACAATCCCCACCCTATCAATAAAAATATACTTTACAATTGTAACTTTTATTTTGGGGTCGGGGAAAATGGCCATGGGTGGAACAAATTCGGGAGATGAAAGTGGAAGTTGTCATAGAGTGGAAAAGGTAATAACAACAGTTACAAAGATCTATAGCAGTATATGAGAAAAACCAGTTAGCCACAACATAGGCATTCTACACCTGAAAAAGGAGCCCTGGTGGCACAGTGGTTAAGAGTTTGGTGCTAACTAAAACGTCAGCAGTTCAAATCCACCAGCCACAGCTTGGAAACTCTATGGGGCAGTTCTACTCTGTCCTATACAGTCACTAGGAGTCAGAATCAAATCGATAGCAATGGGTTTTTTTTTAAACCTGAAAAAAACAGATTTGGATGTTCTCTTTTTAAAGAGGAGGGGGATGTATCATTCACTAATTTTTCTGAAAGAACTGTTTATTAGTCAGCAGTTCCTCAGTCAGAGATCCACTATTATCATAAATATGAAAACTTCATTTTCTTCCAAGGGAAACACCATAGAACCAATATGGATTTTTAGAATTACAAATGATTTTGAATCTTGGCTCTTAGGCTTTGTGAACATTCCTTTCAGAGCATAATTCTTTAGTAGTAATACTGGGACTGTAACTGGATCTTATAAAGTTTGCTAGGATAATTAAATTATTACATAAATATACATCTACAAATTCCACTTCTTTTAACACCTTTGTAATTCCAGTTCTCTAACTTCTGAATCTAAAAGTGAGCTATTTCAAATTTGTCGTGGTAAGCCATGACCAGGAAAAAAGTGGATAGGAAATTAAGTCTTTGAAAAATGGCATTATAATAGAAATTAAAATGATTATGACTTAAAATTAATTACCACTAATGCTTTTTCCCTGAAATGCTTTCTTCACTTGCTTCCAGGGCACATTCTCTTGGCACTTCCAAGGCACTTTACCCTACTGGCTGCTGTCTCCGTCTTTGCCTATTCCTCTGACCTTTCAAACCTCTAGATTTAACTCAGCCCAGGTAGCTCCTCTAAACTCCAGATTCAAATCTAACTACCTACTTCATTATCTCCACTTGGATATCAAATAGTTATCTCAAACTTAATGTGCCCAAAACTGAGTTCCTGATCTTCCTCCCCAAAATCTGTTCTTCCTATGGGGTTCTCCGAATCAATCACTTCCAACTTCCGTACTTCAGTTGTTTACTCATCCTTTTAACTTTCTCTCATATCCCCATATCCATCAGCAAAATTTATCTCCCCAATTCCACCTTTGCCCATTTACAATCTACTCTTAAAACAGCAGCCAGGGTTAAAAATTTTATATCTATTTTATCACAATAAAATTTAAAAATAATAAAAGCAGCCAGAATGATCCTGTTAAAAACTTAAATAAGATTAAGTCACTACCGTCCTCCTCCGTTTCTCACAACAAAACAAAAGCCAAAGTCAACACAATGGCCTACAAAGGCCCAATCATCTGCACTCCTCCCAACACATTCTATCTCTGACCTTGTCTCTTACTCCACTGCAGCTGAACTAGCCTCTTTACTGGTCCTGAAACATGTCAGGCACATTTCTCTTTCAGTGCCTTTATAGTTACTATTCTGTTGCTGACACTACCGTTCTCTACCCTACTCCTACTTGTGATATCTACATGGCTAGCTTCCTCTCCTTCTTGAAGTTTCTACTCCAGGGTCACCTTCTAGGGGGGCCTTCCTAACCACCTAAGCACTCCCTGGCTCCCCAGCATTTTCTTTTCACCATATTTGTTTTCTAATTTTACTGTTTATCTCCCCACACCACCCACATCACCATAAATTTTTGGCCATTTTGTACAATGATGTATCACCAGTGTTGGACATACAGTAAGCACTCATATTTGCCATATAAATCACCTCCATGGAAAAATATTCAACTGCACTAAAATAAAAGAATGCTAAATAGAGTAAGATGCATAAAATACCATTCTGAACATAAGACTAACAAATCTTATAATCATGAAACCAATTTCTTTTTGGTGAGGATGAAGAAATACAAGTGGTTTTATACATACGACAATGACTGTAAACTGGCAGAATCTGTCTGGAGAGCCAATATTAATCATTTTCAAATATGTATACCATTTTATCTAAGCTCTTATAACCTGTTTTCATTTGTTCAGGCTTTTTTTTTTTCTTAAATAGTTACTTCTCACTACTTAATATATGTTCCATAATTTTTTGGTTCATTTGTTTATTACATATCTGCACCACCAGATACGTAAGCATCACGGGGGCAGAGACAGTTCAAAGCTGCACTGCCAGTACCTAGAACAATGCCTGGCATAAAGGCACTCCAACTTGAATTCGATGAAAATGTTAGTTTTATTTACAATAAACAAGTGATTGGTTAAAACGATATACATAATGTATTCATACAAGCAATTTATGTAAAAATATTCATATACTACGTCAAAAAGGCAACTGATAAAAGAATAAATACACAACACTGTGAAAATAGGTAATTTTTCTTTTTATCTCTAAGAATACTTACTCTGTTCCAGGTTATAGGGTTATTTAACTAGGGCCCCTTACCCCAAAAAAGTCACCTTTTAACTCATCATGTACCTGAAGCATACTACTTAACAAAATATTTCCATTATATCCAGATTTCATTTTTCCTGTAGGCATAAATATTACTGACATCTCCTAACCACCCACCTCTACCCCAGTAACAGACTTTTCTGAATAAAATTAATGTTTTACCCATATTAAAAAAAAAATTTCCATTATATCCAGATTTCATTTTTTCTGCAGGCATAAATATTACTGACATCTCCTCCTACCCACCCACCCCAACCCCAGTTATAAGAACAGAGACTTTTGTAAATAAAATTAATGTTTTACTCAAATAAAAAAGGAAAGTAGCATTCCATTTAGAGTAGCCCACTCTAGTAGCCAGATATACTACCAAACTGAACATCCTATAATCCAACAATACTTGATAACAAATGTGATAATACCGTTGATGGTACACATATGAAATAGCTTTATTAATAAAATCTTACTTATGGTATTGTTGAGTTTTCTGCATTAGTTTCTCTGGCAAACCATCTTCATCATCAAACTGCTCCATGGGCTCCACAATGACTGGACGAGGGGTCCTAGATAGGTATAAAAGCATTAATAAGAATTAACATAGTGCCTAGAATTAATTTCCTCCAAGAAATTTTTTACATGCAAAATATATACAGAAAAATGTCCCAGAAGTATCATATACTCATAAAATCAGTCAATGAACATTTACTCAGCCAGACGTAGTGAATACAAACATGGATAACAGAATGCTTGTTTTTGGAGCGTAAAGTCAGTTCAAGATGACAGAAAAGTAAATGGACAACATGAACCAGCATAACCACTGTAGTTAACGTCTACAAAGAAAAAGGAAAACGGAATATCTAATTCATGTTTTATTTATGTGGCCCTCATCATCCCCATGTTCCACCTCATATCTCGTATCGCTGCACACGTCTCAGCCTCCCTGTTGTCCACCTGCCTTGTTCAGAAGTCTTTCTAAGAAAGGCTAATGCCTAAAATTAGACCCAAAAGATGTCAAGCAGGCAAAAGGAGAGAGGAGTCAGAAGGTAACAGTACACTGAAGGAAGAAGTTGGGGGGGGGGGGAACGACACAAGAAAAGTGGCTGATAAAGATAGGAATACAATTTTCCTAAGTGAAAAAGGAGAAAGAGAGATTACTGGGAAAAATGAGAAAAACGTAGAGTAGATGATGCATCAGTAATAAAATTCTCCTTGCTACCTGTTCCCCACCAAGCAAGCAACCCATAAAATCTATTTATACTACTTTCAGAACAGAGATGCTTGAGAGAAAAAAATTACTGTTAACTTTTGAGGTTTTATAAGCACTAGCGAGTTATCACTTCACACCTACAAGGATAACTATGATTAAAAAAATTAGAAAACAGAGGATTACCATTTGCTTCAGCAATTCCACTCACAGGTAAATAGCCAAAATAAATGAAAGCTGGAACACAAATACTTATACACTAGTGTTCATCGTAGCACTATTCACAGCAGCCAAAACATGGAAACAATCCAAATGTCCATCAATAGACGAACGGATAAACAAAATGAGGTACCTACATACAATGGGATATCAGTCATAAACAGAATTAAGTCGAGAAACACGCTACAACATGGATGAAACTTGAAAACATGATGATGAGTGAAATGTTAATCACAAACGGACAAATATTATATAATCCCACTTAGATGAATTAACTGGAACAGGCAAGCGTTTATAGACCAACATTTATTAGTGTTACCAAAGACAGGGGAGGAGGGAGGGAGGGGAAAGGGGGACTCACTGCTTAGGGACATAAGCTTCTATTAAGCGTGACAGAAATATCTGCAGATTGTAGTGATGATTGAACATGATGATGTAATTAATGTCACTGAATTGGACATGTAATAATGTTGAAACAGCAAATTTTTTGTCACATACATATTTAACACAATTAAAAAGAAAATAGCTAGTGCGGTGAAGGGGTTCTTTTTAGATTCCAAAAGCTTCCCTTTAAATACAAAGATCCAGAGGTTAACAGAGACTTAGATCTTAAACTGTAGAGAAAAGAAAGCTATAATCTTTTAAAATTATTCCTCGGCTAGTAAAAGACATTAAGAAGAGAGTATCAGAAGCAGGTGTGGAATGACTTGGGGTGAAGGAGAGAATGAGATTATAGAAACCTAGATAAACTGGGAACCCAGAAAAAAAGGGATCTGGGTCTCAATTTCCACGGTAAGACATCACATCCAACACGTTAGAACAGAAAATACATGAATAAATGGAGCCTCAAAGAATACATGCAATTCAAATGGTAGGGAAAAAAAAAAAGATGAGAGTTCCTAAATCCACCAAACCCGTCAGAAAATGCTGGAGGACCCAACGGAGCCTAGGGCCAAAATAAAAAAGCTAACAGTTTATGGATCACTCCACTCCCCACTGGAAGCCACGACAGGGCCACAAACAGAAGGACCAGATAAGAAGTTACACCTGAGCAGAGGCCAGCAAAGACAGAAACAAGCAGATCCCTGCAATAGCAGAAGGCCACCACCCCCACCCCATCAGAGAAAAATCAGAAAAGGAGACTGAACACAACAGAATTACTCAGAATTGACAAATTAATTTTGTGAACCCAAGGGAAGTGGTAAATAAAGTCAGAGAGCCCTGGTCACGCAGTGGTTAAAACCACTGACTGCTTACCAAAAGGTCAGCAGTTCAAAACCAACAGTGGCTCTACCGGAGAAAGATGTGGCAGTCTGCTTCCGTAGAGATTTACAGCCTTGGAAGACCCTATGGGGTCACTATGAGTCGGAATCAACTCGAAGGCAGTGGGTTTTTGGGTACCCTCAAGTATGTGGGATGTTGTAACTACAAATTTTGAACTTTTAATATAGGAATATGGGCCACTAGACACTCTTCTACATTGTGGGGAGGGGAATGAACATGTACATCCTTCTGCGAGGAACTGGACATATATATACAAATTTATACTATATATATACCACCTTGTTCCTGCAATTCCCCTTCTGAAGAGATGCGTACACAAGTGAGCAAAGGTAAGTCAAACCATGTTTATCGTAATATGTGACACATAAAAAGTGACGACTGTGGGCATGTGTAGTATACAAGGGATGTCTTAAGAGACTGTGTCTTTTGTCCTACCCTGCTTATTGGTGAATATACTAAAATGTGAACATTTATGATTTCACTCTCTACAGAAGCTCCCTTTATTCATTTTCTCATCCACCTTATTGATTTCATTTTCTTCATTAGGTGTTAACAAAAGCCTTTAAAATCTAACAAATTCTGTTTACTCTAGGCACAATTACTAAATTTTTTTTTTTTACAGATGTAGATAAATATTATATTGGAAAAAGACTGAAAGGAAATAACATGGTCAACCATGATGTTAAAGCTGGAGTTGCTGATTTGTAGAGTTTTTGTTTTCCTCCACTTTGTACCCAAATAAATCATTAGTTTGGTTATATAAGTAATAAATGTTACAATGTGGGGGAAAAACTTAACAATATAGTTAAGTTTTATAGAAGAAAGTCTCCTGAAATCCTATCACGTGGAGAGGGCTTCTGATCATGTTTTCATGAACATCTCTTCAGACTGTCTCTTCTGCTAGATATATATAATTTTACATAGAATGAATCATCTATGCATGCTGTTTTCAGATACTCCCTTGTCACTCAATATAAAATGGCACCATATCAGATGTATGCAGGAACCATTGTTTTTTTTAGTATTTTATTGTATTTTTGGTGAGCATATACACAGCAAAACAAGTTCCCATTCAACAATTTCGACAGTGCTCAGTGACATCGTGTCAACATTTTCATTATTTTGCACGTATCATAATTTTTTTAGTCATACCAATTAGTGTAGATTTTAGGTTTCCATGTTTTCTGTAATGATACATAATATGATTAACATGTTTGTGACTAATCCTTGCTCACTGTTGTTCAAATATCTCTTTAGAGGTAAAACTGAAAACAAGATGAAACATACAGTACTACAAATATAGTAACTTGAAAGATGATGCAATATTTTACTCACACAATTAAAAAAAACTGATGAATAGTGACAATTCATTACTGAATCATCCTTGTAGAAATAAGGCATACACCATTTTTTTTAGTCTTTTTTTTTTTTTAAGCATAGTTGTAACTGAAGAGTAATGATAAAATGATTCCTAGGATAATGATGAAAAATAAAATTACTAGGATCTGATAATGTTATCTTAGATTTATAAAATGACCCAATGAAACCATGTGGTAATTTTAAGAAAAAATTGAGTTTATTCTATTTTTTTTTTTAATGAATTTTCTTTTCGATCTTTGGAAGACCTCTAAGAAATACCAAGTCATAAAATACCAATCCTTACTAATAATTGTTATTGTTGGGTGCTATCAAGTGAATTCTACTAACAATCAGGACTGCTCAGGAAAGTAATTAAAAAACTAAAATTGAGACCAACTGACATTGACAGTATACCATAAGGGTTAAGGTTGTTTTCCTAAAAAAATAAGTACTAATTTATACTTCCACTACCAGGAGGTTTGTCTAGACATCATTTATGTTTCCAATGTGACAGACAAAGGAAATATTACAAAGCTTTTATTAAAGGGTTTTTTTTCCTGACTCTAACAGAAACCTCTCTTAATGAAAAGATACGTGACAAAACAAAATGTTGAGAAAAATAATTACAAAAAATTAATGTAACAATCACCTATGTGCAGTCCTGAGACTACTATACCATCCTAACCAATTAAGAGTGGTTTTCTGTGCTTAAACACTTTGTACATTGTGATTTACACTAAGCACCTTCTGTCCTTCTGGGAATTTTGATATGTGCTAGACAGGGTGCCCATGTGAATGGCCCCACCCGCAACAATAAAAACTCTGGACTTCTAGGCTCTGATGAGCTTCCCTAGTAGACAACACTTCACTCAACTTGTTGCTGTTCATTAAGCAACTCCTGTGTGACTCTACCAGAAGACTTTTGGAAGTTTGCAGCTAGTTTCCTTCGGACTTGGTCCCCGCACCTTTTCTCTTTGCTGATTTGCTTTGTATCCTTTTGCTGTAATAAATCTTAGCTATAGGTACAATTGTATGCTGTGCCCTATGAGTCCTTCTAGTGAATCACTGAACCTGGGGATCATCCTGAAGCCTCCCTAACAGACCTGTAAAGCACACTAACCAAATACAACCTCTACTGACATTTTCTCATTTTTATTTTCAATCTTTTTCATAATCAGTTTATTAACACAATTACTTGAATCACAGCATACATCTATTTTTGTATCCTTTTTTCACTTGCTGAAGTTTTATTTATAGAAAACTAAATGGCTTTATAGTTGTTACACAGCATATGTGCACAGCAGAATGCTCTGCCATAAACAAATTTAGAGTTGCAATTTATTAGTTTTGTATTTTTGTTGCGATATAATTCACGTACCATAAAATTTATACTTCTGAAGTGTATGATTCCGTATTTTTTAGTACATTCTCAAAGTTGTACAACCATCACCACTATCTAATTCTAACAACATTTTCATCATCCCAACTGGTAACCTC